ATTCCGGTTTCCTTTATGAATCTCAATAGTTGCCTACTGATTCTTATGGCAGTTGCCTTTCCCATCTGCCTTGCTTTCGCTACCCACCACTGTTCTCGACCGCTGCGAAGGCGTTTTATCAACCTGCGCCTCAGCTGACTCCGCTCCTTATCGTACTCAGAGCCAGGAGGGATGAGCTATCGAGCACTCATCAGTTCTTTAAATGCTACTGCGATCCAAGGCTTCTTTCTTACCACATGTTTTACCTAACTGGAAGATATCAATTCTGTTTGCACGGCCTTTTTTGATATCATTACAAGCTACCTCGGGGTGGGCATCACTTACTACGTGGCTGCCTAACTGTTTTCGTAGTTGATCCTGAAATATATTCCTAGCTTTATTATCATTAAGTAGAGCCCTAACAGGTTTCCTTGCGACATTTCTCTTTCGTCCAGTGAGGGGCCAACGAATACCCGCTCTCACTAGAGCATGGTCTGAGTCCAAACAAGTGCTACAGAATGAGCGACAGTCTTCAACAGAACCTCTACACTTATGGCTTATAGAGATGTGATCTAGTTGGGTCGACTTTGGCGGTCGCCTGGTCAAAACGTGCTTTACCTTATGCTTAGTTTTAGTGTTTGCTAGGAACAGGTGGTGATCTGCGCATAGCTGCAGCTGACGGTCGTCATTATCTGTTCTATTAGCCGCCACACGATAAGATCCACCCAGGTGTATTTCCTCTTCGATGATTCTACTTACGTAAGCGTTAAAGTCACCTGCCATTATTACTATATCAGAGCGCTACACATTTTGGAGAGGTTTGGAGAGGATTCTCTAAAGCTTATCTCTCATGTCGTTTGAACTGCGGCCAGTGGGAGCGTAGGTAGACACGACGATAGGGCAACGGCGAGTGTCTCTATACTTCCAAGTCCGTACCGTCCCGTTTGGTCGGACAGAGTATAAGCGACTGCCTACCGAGATCTAGTCTAAGAGAGCTAGTTCTGCCCTACGACTCAATACTACACTTACGCTGGCGAGGCCATGAGAAGCGGCATCACGGTTTCTAGAAACACCAAGCATAAACCTTGTTGTGTCTCTATCTGCGCTAGGTGAGATCAAATTGATTTTACTTGGATCTTGTATGCGCGTTTTGGAGACGCGACATACATCCATCACCCGGGATTGCAGAAGAAGACTGTTGCCCTATTTGGTATAGCGTCCGAACATTAAAAGCTCTAATATGTAATTTAATACGGAGTTTCAAGAGACTAGAAATAATGTTACGTGAGCTCAAACCGTTTGCATCAATGGCGTGGTGATAAATGACGAAAGAAAGGTTGGTGGAGGAGAGAAGAGTTATTAAGAGGTGTAGAAAGGATCTGATTGTGACCAATCTGGTCTCGTGGGTGGGTGGCGAAAGCAAAAGCGATGGAAAAGGCAGCGGCGATCGGCAACAGTAGACAACTTTTCCGCCTTATTAAAGAAACCGGTATTAAGAACCCGAATGTGAGTGAGACTATCTCGGAAAAGGATGGTCTTATTATCCATTCTCAATCCAGGAGACTGGATCGATGGGCAGAACACTTTAGGGTTCAGTTCAACTGGCCACGAGCCACTCTTCAGTTACCCACGATCTCCAGTCATCCTGAATGGCAAATCGACGTAAGTCCCCCTAGTCTTAATGACGTTGAGAAAGCGTTAGGAAATCTGAAACGAGGACGAGCTGCAGGTCCTGATAGAGTGACTCCTGAGATATTTAAGGATGGTGGTCCAGTTTTAGCAGCTAGATTGACTGAGATCTTAGGTAAAATCTGGGAACTGGACGTAATCCCATCCGACTGGTCTCAATCCTTGATTGTCCCAATCTATAAGAAAGGACAAAAGTCTTCTTGTGACAATCACAGAGGAATAAGTCTAACTAATATAGTATCTAAAATATTGGCCTCAATAATACTTCGACGCTTAACGAAAGCTCGTGAAGAGCAGACTCGAGAAAACCAGGCTGGTTTTCGACCTGGACATGGCTGTATAGACCACGTCTTCACACTCAGACAGGTCCTGGAACATAGACACACATTTAGGCGTCCTACAATAGTTGTTTTCCTAGACCTTAAGGCGGCATTTGACTCTGTTGATCGTAAGGTTCTGTGGCAGTGTCTGTCATTGAAAGGTGTACCAAATAAGTACATTAACCTTATACAAGCTCTTTACTCGAACACCACTGGTCGGGTGAGGGCTTATGGCGAACTGTCACCGGAATTCTTCACTTCAAGTGGTGTCCGTCAGGGATGTCCACTTTCTCCATTCTTGTTTAATTTTATCATAGACATGCTCCTAGAGTTAACATTATCCTCGTCTGAATTTTCAGGAGTAGACCTTCTTCCAGGTGGCTTAGAATATGCCGATGACATAGTCCTACTTGGTGAAGAGGTTGACAAAATGCAGAGTCTTCTGACCACCCTAAGCAACAATGCAAGCATGTTCGGGATGCGGTTTTCCCCCTCGAAATGCAAAATGTTGCTTCAAGACTGGGTTGCATCGGCACCTGAACTAGTGATAGGGAGTGAAGTAGTCGAACGTGTAGACCGATTCACTTATCTTGGGAGTCTCATCAGTGCCGATGGCCTGGTGACTGACGAAATCTCAGCACGGATACAGAAGGCTCGATTGGCTTTTGCCAACCTGCGTCACTTATGGCGTAGGCGAGATATCTGTTTGCTGACTAAAGGACGAGTGTACTGCGCAGTAGTTCGCTCCGTCTTACTTTATGGCTGTGAAACATGGCCAGTGAGAGTAGAAGATATTCGTAGGTTACTGGTTTTCGATCATCGATGTCTTCGAAGCATTGCTCGTATATCGTGGGACACCCGAGTGAGCAACGCTGTTATTAGGAATCGGGTGCTAGGTAAGAATGGCAGATCAATCGATGAAGTATTGAAACTTCACCAGTTGAGGTGGTTGGGACATGTGTTGCGTATGCCGAACCACCGGCTGCCTCGTCGAGCCTTGTTTTGTAGTGTGGGAATAGGTTGGAAGAAAGTTAGGGGCGGCCAAACCAAAACATGGCAGAAATCCATGAAGTCACTGACAAGTGGACTTAGCCATGTCGGTAATTGTCGACTACCTGGTTGGGGTCCGCGAGATGAAAGTCACCAATGGTTAGAGACCTTGAATGACATGGCTCAATATCGTTCGCAATGGCGCCAGTGCATTTATTCTCTGTGTTCTCTCAAATGCTAATCTTCTGGATTCTTCAACCCCTCTAGTTTCGACTCTCTAAACTTTTCTCACTGAATCATACTTCTTGAGTAGTATCTTCTAATCCTAACCTCTCCGATTATTTCTAATTCCCTTACTACCTCTTCTACTATTGGATTTGAATTGACGATTACTTCTCTGTGCTGATGTGGTATGGCAACATGAACTGATGTACTTATGTACAAAGTTCTACGTTGCATCTGACTGACTGACTGACTGAATCTGGTCTCGTGTGTTTTTATGCATATGAGGGCAGATGTTACTTCCCCACTGCCCACAACGTGGAAAGTTATTTCTTGAGCAACCTGAAATAGAAAGTAGATTAGCGTTGGTCTAAACGACATGGGAGCGTGACCACCCGTACCTATTTTCCAACCTACTCCTACCTGACTGTAGCTGCTACCTTGATGTGGTGGTCTGGTTGCCTATCATGATGACCCAACCGAGCTTTATTGGCTGGAACATATGTTCCCGAAGGTCCTACCATACCAGGCAGGTCAAATGGAGAACGATGAGACTAAAAGCAGCTACTCAAAGTCTGAGGGCGAAGTCGTACTGTTGACTTCAGAGGGGTGTGACAGCAGTGAGGTGTTTCCATCGGACAACCAGCATCTGCAGCGATGCTGCCTTCTCACAAGGAAGGAAGGGTTGGAAAAGGTCGACCCTGACATTGTCACACCTCACGGATTTCCATCTTAGGCGGTATGGTATGCCCACTAACAGCTTTTAAGAGCGGAGCTGAATCACAAGAAACCTTTCTTAAAAAGGCCGTGCTTGACCGGACACGCTCCCATCAAATCCTTCCTACATCCCCTAATATCTCTCTTATCCCCACTACTAACGCTTTTCACATTCCTTTATCACACTGCACAACTAATGCAAACAACGTGAGTTCACGAAACGTCATTTCTGGTCTCCTGTAACCCCGTTCTAGAATACATGTTGGAGCATTTAATGTACGTACATTATGTCAAATAGGGCAACAGGCTTCGTTAGATAGAACATTGGAATCTCGCTCACTCCGATGTATGCTGCGTCTTGAAAACGCACACACAGGATCCTAGTAAAGTCATTAATCTGATTTCGCCTTGTCAAACCAAAGAAGCAGCCCGATTTACTCTTCGTGTAGGGATGGCAAATCAATAGATGAAGTAGTGAAACTTCATCAGTTGAGACATGTATTATATATGGCTAACCACCGACTCCCGCGACGAGCTATGTTTTGCAGTGTAGGAGTAGATTGGAAGAAAGCTAGGGGTGGCCAAACCAAAACATGGCACAAATGCATGAAGTCACTGACAAGTGGACTAAATCATGTTGGTAGATGTAGGCTACGTGGTTGGGGTCCGAGAGACCATAGTCACCGATGGTTACAGACCTTGAACGACATGGCTCAGAATCGTTTACAATGGCGCAAGTGCATCCACTCTTTGTGTTCTATGAAATCCTAAGCTTCTGCATTCCTCATAATCTCTACCTTTCTGCTTCTAAACTTATCTTACTGAATTATACTTCTCGAATCATATCTTCAGTCCCCAATCTTCTCCATTACTGCTAATATTTCTATTATTGCTATCACTCTTGGATTTGAACTGACATTTGCGTTTCTGTGCTGATCGGGCATGGCAACCTGAGCTGATGTACTTACGTACGAAATTCTGCGTTGTATCTGTCTCTGTCTGACTGACGCACGTACGTACGTACGAAGTTCTACGTTGTAATTGACTGACTGACTGACTTATGAAAGGGATAATTGAACAATATTTACACAATATACATCAATTTATTACAAATATTTACAAAACTCGTTAATTAATTCAGTTTCAAAGACCTTCTTGTGTTAAATTGTCTAAAAGGTTTTGTAATTTTCTTTTCAAAACAGTTAAACCGGAAAATATAATTGCTCTCGGTTGTAATGACCCACAAGTTTCGATGTTGAAATAGAAACGATTTGGCTACATGAAACAGTCAAATAATTTTTGAAAGAAAGAAAGATAAGATAAGTTATTTACTTCTTTATCAATATCTAACAGAAAAATGATTCACTGCATTGACAAACAAAAAAAGCTTTTCAATCAAACTGCAAAATGTTTGAAAGATAACACGATATGATATTGAATTATAGAACAAAAATAAATTCTTATTGTAAAGTCTGAACAGAATTATGTACCACCAGAAGATATTACGCCTGAAATCAAAACAGCGATAGTATGCTTGTAAAAAAGGAACTGCTACATTTCTTTTCAAGTTGTTTAGGAACACATCAACTAAAATCTTTTACAACCTACAGCAATTCTATCAACATCAAGTAAGCAGTAATTGATGATAAGTAACATGTGTTTCAACCACTTTGAAAAGATTTTGAACCAGCTTTGACAAACATCTGAAATTCAAACAGCCAATAGGAGAAATTCCCACTTCTGACCAGTAACCTTATACACTATAAAACAACCACAGAAAAAACTTGTATTGTTGGAAGCCAACTGTCAAGTTAAGAATGGAGGAAAATGCATCAGGTCATACGTTTCATTTGAAGATCGTCTGATCATTTGATAGCTCAAGGACATGCAGGTTACATGTGTCCCTTAAAAACGACTAGCAACCATAGACAGATTGACAAGCAAATCACATCAGACTTCTACTCCCAACTTGAAAAGTATAACTATATCCTTAAAGATCAATTTGTGGTTACAAACATAAAGGTATTTCGTAAACTGTTTGAGTGGCTTGAAACCATGCACAACAATCTCTTCGAAAAATCTAACAAACACCTACCAATAGTTAGTGAACAGCATACTTAATAGTCTTGATTTTGTACAAGTATATGTAGAGATCGTGATAAAGAAACATAATCTACTTACCAGTCTGAGTTACAAGTGACCGTCTGTTGAACTAAAGAATATGTTATTATTATCATACGGTGAACAAACGAATGTTTCGGGTACCGCAAACTGAAGGTACATCATACTAGATTAGTTTCAAGTTCCGATGTCTCCAGAACATTCTGAAATCTCACTTTTAACAGGAGATTTACTGTTTAGAGAGCTAACGTCAGCTGACGATAAGTCAGGTAAACTTCAACCTGCAAGGATATTTTTTCGTGAAGTGTTCTGTAACCGAAAGCAGTTGTCACTTCACCTTATAAAAGCCGTCAAGTCATAGGTTTTATATACTGCTAGGTAACTGTTATGCAACTAACTGGTAACCACTCACAAGACCGAATTATTAATCCCAATCGCCCAATGAACCACCGTCAAAGAGAATACTGCTAACTTGAAGATATTATGATTATTTACAAAGTATTACATGAAAAACAAACACGATTAACTTGCATTTAACTGATAAACGGTAAGTGGTATCGATTTTGTAGGTTACTCGCTCGCCTATAAAACTAAGACCTGGCTGATAGGCTCAGTTCTTGTTTCTTACATTCTGGCTGAACCAGTATTTTAATGGTTGGTATCTGAACCGTTAGACTAGTAAGTACATCCTGTGCGGTCGTAATAAATGAAAAACCTCAAAGCAGGAAAACCATGAAAAAGTATCCTACCTTTCCAGTCGGATCATAAGGTGCTTGATGCTCATTTTCTGGTAAAGTTGAATATTCTGAACGTGGCCATTCTTCAGGTTTATGCAAAAATGTATGTCTTAAGGCATTGTCCGGGTCGTATTCAAATCCTACGCCAGCAGTTGGATTCCATTTCGCATGTTCTTTACCAAAGCCTTTCTTAGCGATAGCTCTTAATTTCAAGCGCTGACCTTTGCGCATTTTAACAATTAGTATGGATTCCTGAAAAACACACAGGTCTATGTATACATGCAGTAAATAAGGCGAGTCAACAAGAGATGTATGTCTTAACAGAATGACATAACTTACAAACTTTTGACATCAGTAACAAAGCAAATAAATAGACTCATTTAATTATAATGCACAGACACTTTAAGAAAGGCATACATCTCACACAAATAACACACTGACCTGGCCAACATATGACGACTCATCAGCATCTCTTGACGGTACAGGTTGTACATCACGGTTACTACTGATCAGGTCGGCTCCCGTAACATGCCTTGGTGCATCTGTAGTACAACATACATCTAATGTGAGTTCCACGGAACATTGTTCACAGAATTCGCGGCACGGACATTCTCGGAAATAGGTCATTTTATCAACTACATTATCACATGTCAATGGAATCAATCCAACACGTTGAGCGATGAATTCATCATTTAACATGGTATTGTTATCTTCAATCTGTACCCAATCGATTGCAAGAGTTGGGACTTCAGCGATACAAACACGTCGAATAGCATTGGCTACACTCAAATCAGTCTCTTCCAAGACAAACTTTATGTTTTCATTGTTAAAACTTGTCAATGTGACGATAGGTTGATTGGCATAAGGCATATCTGATTCTTGACAAAATCTAATGGAAAATCAAAACAAAAATGAGAGTATTTAGAAGTAATTACTTTAGCGACAAAGTGGGCACAACAGAACGGACTATGAAATATATAAACTTTCAGTCCCAGAACAACAGATAGATAACGAAGAATAATGATAATAATAATAATCACGCACAGAAGAACAATTACGGTTAGCCAGCAATAACATAGAAAATAAGAAGAATCGGTAACTGATACTGACATCAACTCAATTGGAAACATAAACAGTTTGATTACCAGCCAGTGTTGAGTGGTTTTAGGAGAGTGCGCTTTTCTAAAAAATACATTTAAATATCAACCCTAATTCATCTCAAATATATACAAGTATAAAGAAAGTCTTGGTAATAGCTTAGAAAAGATAAGTAGGATCATAAATGCCTCAAATAACAAGTCTCACTAACCGAAAATCAAGAATGACGCAAAAGACCTCCATACTATTTCAAGTATAGTCTATGAAAGTGTGAGGTATTCAAAAACTCTAGTCATTTCATCAAGAATGTTTTCCAAGCATTATTCAAGTGACAGAAATACCATGTAAATGTGAGGAGTAGGGTAGAATACAATACAGTAGTCGGTGCATTATCGATTATCAGTTATATTGAACACTGCTATCCAAGCAGTGAATACACACAGTTACCTCAGTATACCTTTTTGAACGACCATTTACACGAGGTCTAAGGGTAGCCAGAAGAACAGAAACAGTACGTTTGTGAATAAAGTTTTAGAACATTTGGAAGCGGGAATGAACCTACCGATGAAGTTTAGAGGGAAACGTATCTATTTGCGTTGTAAACTACTAGTGGCTTTAATCCAGACACGAATTTGATTGAAATCGGTGATGAAAACGTACTTCAAATGGACACAAATAATTAACTGCTCGGTAGACACCACATCAACGAAAAATTATCGGAAGAGAACTCACAGGAACCTTTTGTGAAGCGCTGTTTATATTTTTGCTGCTTCGTTTTTCATCAGTACTTTACTGCTAGCTGGTTTAAATGCCTCGACTTGGAATAGCGATGTACTTTAAGGGCATTCGAACGACCATAAGCCTAGGGACTAGCCTTGAGAAGTTCCGAACTACCAATAATGTGCAGAGATTGAAGAGTTAATGAGCGGTTTTAATTGTTCATTTGCTGCTAAATGGGAGGCACTGTACAGCTGCTCCATTCTCATATCCAACCTCTTAAAGGTGAAAATCAACGAAACCAATCTTCCAACTTTGAGGGTATTTATTGACTTATCGGAAAAAATTCTCAAATATAAGTGATAGTTTTTGGGTTTCCGGAGACATTTCGCTGAAGTTACCCTAAAGAATACCATAGGAATTTCCACAAGGTTGGACTGGGTATATTTAAGACCTCAACCACTTAATGCTGAGAATGAACTACCTAGCACAATTAAAGAGTAGAACATTACCAAAAACAATATAGCTCCTAGACAAACACTATAAACGTAACGTTCGCACAAGTGCAAAATCACCTGCGATGTCCGGCAGAAACTGACCTTCAGAAGATCCTGTAGGTTAAAACCGCGCCAATTATTCCAATATCAAATATAAGTGACACGAACTAGTAATAACCAACCGATTTTTTAGCACTCCATTCTAGTTCTTTTCGAACGAATACAGGTGATTAGCAGTGGCTGATGGATGAGGAGCACATCGAGGCCTTGCATATGATAAAACTGGTAGTTTTAATTCAACTAGTCTCACTTCATACGGATGTTTTACGATCCAGGGAATTAAAGTAGATGGTTTTGCGAATAGTAGGTTCATCTGAATCAATGTCATTTAGGAAACCGCGGGAATAACGTTACTCTACTACTGCAGTGTACAAAGTGTATATGAAAGCGTTCGAATGAAGAGGCGGCAGATGCATCTAGTGATTTAAACATGTTTACAGCAGTTTAAAAATACATGACTTTTTCTGTAATCGCCTACCACCAATGATATAGTTTAACTGTCTCTCATACTGTCTGTTCGTTTGGTCTATTCAGAAATCTGTAAACTCATATTGTCATTAGCTTCTCATAATAATCTGTACAAATCTTGCATAAAGTTTAGGGTACGAATGTTTCGAGCTTCCCGAAACTGAGATTTTGTCTTTCAAGTTGCATATTTCTAAAATTTCTCTGAGTTCATTTCACCTTGTTTTTCTATATAATCCCCACAAAAAGTTTTTCAAAGTTGACTAGTCATTGATGACGAAGATATAAAAATCGAAGATTGAAAGTTCTCATCAGTATCTGGAGTTTTGAGATGATTCAGGGTGGCACCATGTCGCCTATTCTACGTGTTGCACTCTGGCATTTCGCATATTCACATCATCAAATCGACGTTCAAAGAAGTTTTCTGTCAATTTAGTTCTCGAGTTTCCAAAGCACACAGAGGATACACCGAAACAAAGCTTGTTTGACTTGACTTCATTCACCTAACGTTTTGTGCTGCAATAAATCAAATCAGTCCTCAGCTCATTTCTTTTGTACTGAAAGCATCATATAAATGGTTCGCACATCCGAAACTCATGTTTACGGTAACACAAAGAGGATAGCATTTTTGTTAAATAAGGCTAATCGCCTTCCTTCATGCCTCTGGATTCTGTCATCTCCAGACAATGTGAAATTTTCAACATCAGGCTCTTCATTATCTGTAGAGTGAGTCAGCCATGTATCTGTATTGATAATTACGTCACCTGCTGAATATGATGCAAGCATTTTTGAAGTAGATCTGAAGACCATCTTGATGACTTCATGCTGCACAAAAGTGACTTTAACATCATTCTGCCTAAGGTCCGCACAACCTGAATATTAACAACTCTAACCTTTTTTCAGCATATTTAACATTAGTTGTAACTCTATTTCAGCCTCTTGTTTTCTCGAATGATCCGCGATTCTCTTAATTTATGTTTATTCTTCATTATTCAGAGCCTTTCACTGGGAGGTTGAAATAATTATTTCAGTTATCTAGTTTCATATTCTTATGAAGCTGTTTGACTTGCAAGCCAGTCAACCTTCGGCAAGATGAATCACTGAAATTCTTGGGTCATCAGCGTATATAATAGACTTTCTATCACTCCTGTTGTCAAGCAGCGAATGAATTTCGAATTCGGAAATTTCACGCTCCTGTAATTTCTATGAGATGATAGACCTACCACTTCAACCAGTATTCAGTTTCTGAACTGTTTCCGTGAGAAATGAAATTTGTTCACCAATATTTTGTGGTTAGAACTGTACCGAAAGAACACGAATCCGGTGCAAATAAATCAGTTGATTAACACAAGCTTGTGCAAAACACATTATTTGTTTGACAGGTAGGTTACTGACAATGTGCGATCTTGGAAGATTGATGAATATCAGGATGGTCAACAGCTTCTTCTCTCCTGGACCTTTTTAAGTCGGTATTGTCGCCTTTGTCTTATTGAAGCCATCATCACTTGAACTGTTTCCCTAACCAGCTAATACATTTTAGGCAGCGTTAACAATTGAAAAGGCTTTTTCTAATACTATAAACATTGGTAGCCCATCCAAAAGCTAAGCTAGATAAATTTTTCGGCCTAATAAAACTCGAGTGTTATAATTTATTTCCTGAATTACGTCTATTACCCCACATACTGAAGGTAATTATAAAAAAGTGCCATATATGTTATCCAGAAAGATGATATATGCTCTCATCCATTCTGAAATAGATTATCGCAAATCAGTAACACTATCAAATACGAATGTTCAGCTGAGAAGACTAGTGGTGGATATTGGATGTATTCCTAAACTCTGTGTACCACCATTCTGTTGAGCTTTACTATAAAATAAGAATTTCGTTCGGCGAATAGTTTTCTTGCTTGGTGTTTATAGCTTCCATGAGAGGTTTATGATAAGCATACGCTACAATAACTACAACCTCAAGGATATTACGGAAATGTTTCATCGACACATAAATCTCTTGGGATTCTCTTTCGAACTTACTGTACCACATTTGGTAAGAAATAATATATTTAAACAAAATAAATTGGCTCCTATTTTTCATTTACCAACTGCCCAAACATGGCTGCAACTTCTGTATTCGATGTGTCAGTCATGAATTCAAATGACGCTTCGCCATCTTGTCTTTTTTACATTGTTCCCGCCTTGAGCACTCGCTCGGCCTTCTTCACTGCTTCAGTAGTGTATGCCGACAGTTGGCAAGTCGTCGTAAATAATCCATCAATTGTTGTGATATTGTAGCTCAGTTTGGAATTATTCGACCATATTACTATATTAGCCTGATGAATCGTCGTACTTTTCGCTGTTACTTGGGCAACAGACGATCATTATTAGCTGCAAGGTTTGCTTGATAACTCCAGAAATTATCATGTGACCTAAGAGTCTATTGACCCGTCTAAATTCACAATTCTCAAAGTTAGTAGCAACGCTCTGTTTTGAAGGTTTTGTAAATAACACCTTAGTTGTTGCAGGTTTTCTTCTGCTGTAGCGCTAGCTGCCAGTTCGTCGATGATATACGCATGTTCATTCGTCAGTCTTCTAACAACCTGGCCAACGAGTAACTGAAAGGTCTTAGCCGCATTCAGTAATCCGATGGGCATCCTCGAGAATTAAATCCATAGGAAGGAGCTATGCATACTGGCCTCAAATGACTCAATGTGTCACTGAGTCCGTTGGAAAATGCATGCGGTATCAGAAAGCGGCAAATGTATATGCCAAAGTGACAACAAAACCATGGTCGCACCGTGATTATCCTTGGTCCAGAATGCACGTCGGGTATGCCGGCTCAATAATGGATCTATGTATTTAAATGTGGCGCCCTTTCCAAATGGCTAGAAATCAGCCGCGTCATTCCCCCACAGCAATTAAAACAATACGGCTCCTCACTAAACTTTTCTTCCGCATTGGAATACCAGATGTGATTGTAGCTGACAACGGGTAACAATGCAGCTCTGCCCAACTCCCAGCTTTCTGTCAAGAGACAGCCACCATTCCACATGACGTCTAAGAAGTAAGCAGAAACTTTTGTGGATCTTTACGCATGAACGTAAACATGTCATTGATATGCTGGAACTATTACGAGTTTACCTTGGTCAGAAAACGATAGCGCGGATCAAGGATCTGGTGACACGACATCCTATTTTAGTCCGATTGTGCTAGCCCCCTCTGAATAAAGGAAGAAGACTTGACATGAGGTATAACCTTTGTTCTACAAACATCCCAGAAGAGAACGAAGATTCTGCACTAGGGATCCGGTTGAGAGTCCAGGTCATAAAACGTCACAGATAATGACCATTTGTGCATTTGGGTTGGGAAACAGCACTGAAGTCTGAGACAGTGACAGTTGAGACGACCAATCAATCGACCATCAATCAATAGCAACGTAGAACTTCTTACGTACGTACATCGGCTAATGTTGCCATACCACGTCAGCACAGAGATGTAATTGTCAATTCCAATCCCACAGTAGTAGAGATAGTAAAGGCTTTAACAGTAGTCGGAGAGGTTACGATTGGAAGATATTATTCAAGAAGTGGAAACCAGTGAAATAGACGCAAAAAGATAAAGACAAAGTGATGAAGACATAAAAGTTTGGGGTTTGAGAGAACACAAAGAATGAATGAACCTACTACATTGCAAACGGTTTTGAGCCAGGTCATTCAGGGTCTCAAACCATCGATTACTGACAACACGCGGACCCTAACCATGTTGTCGACACCTATCGACATGACTCGGTCCACTTGTCAGTGACGTCATTCATTCCTGTCAAGTTTTGGTCTAGCCGCCCCTAGCTTTCGTCCAACCTATTCCTACACCTCAAAATATAGCTTGACCAAGCAGTCGGTGGTTAGGCATACGCAACACATGCCCAGTCACCTCAACTGATGAAGTTTCTATATTTCATCTAATTATCGGCCGTCCCTAATTAATACTTGTTCCCTAACGACAGCATTGCTTGCTCGGTTGTCATCTGATACACGAGTAATGCTTCAAAGGCAAATGTGATCGAAAACAAGTAACCTACGAAAATCGTCTACTCTGACTGACCATGTTTCACAGCCATAAACTAGGACTGAGCGAACTACTGCACAGCAAACGGCCATCTCGCCTTCTCCAAAAGTAACGAAGGTTGGTAAAAGCCAGTCGAGCCTTCTGTATCGGTGCTGAGATTTGGTCATTCACCAGGTTATCAGCACTGATGAGACTACCCATCTAAGTTGAGCGGTCAACACGCTCAACTACTTCACTCCCTATCACTAGTCCAGGTGCTGATGCAACCGAATCTTGAAGCAACATTTTGCACTTGGAGAGGAGAAATCGCATTGTTGCCTAGCGTCATCAGAAGACTCTGCATTTTGTCCGCGTCTTCACCGAACAGACCTATGTCATCGGCATATTCGAAGTCGATAAGCGAACCTACTGGTAGAAGGTCTACTCCTAAAAAATTCAGGCGACGAAAATGTTAGATCTGGAAGCATGTCTATGACAAAATTGAAGAAGAATAGGGAAAGTGGACATCCTTGACGGACACCACATGAAGTAAAGAATTCTGGTGACAG